CTTTGAGAAGAATCCCACCGCACAAGTTCAACTGTGGAGAAATAGCTGCTGCTTCAGGCAACGTAATTTAATTTGACAGGAGGAACAGTATCAACATAGTTGCTCTTGACCTCCTCACACCAGCTTTAAACTCTCAATTCCCCTCAACTAATATTTCTTTCCAACAATTTTTCTTTCCATCTTTTTTTCATCCCAGATCTCCTTCTAATGTCCCTCTGCTTGATGCCACCCTTTCCTCATTTATCCTGCTACTTTATCGCTGTGTTGGCCTTTCCATCTCCCCTATGTGCCAAGTCACCAATTATGCACATTTTGCTTTTTACTGTGTTGACAAATGCTGGTGTCAAGCCTAGTATGGTGCAAGTGTGCCACAAACAGGATGGTGGCAAAGAGGGCACACAGGACAATAAAGACAAGGACTATCAGCAGATATGCACAATATTTAACATTCTAACTGAAAGACAAAAGGAACAAGGTACAAACACCTGTGTGTGCAGAAAACACACTTTAAGACACATGGCACGGGGCGGATGAGTCTATCGAAGACAAGGAAGGGAAGGGATGGAGGGGAAGGATGTCCTGATGTTCTACAGTTGCCCAACAACAGAAAGACACATTAGGACTCCCAGGAAGAGGGAGGCGATGTCAGAACGAAAGAGAGTGAGAGACAGATGGACAGAAAATAATATGTCACAGAGAAAGAATAAGTTAGACAGAGAGAGGCAGAGAGGAGGAACAACAGAGGGAAAAAGCTGGAAACCGAGAGACAGCTGGCACTCTGGGGCACAGTGGATGGATAGCTCCTTGTTAGCATAGGCCTGACAGGCTGATGAGAGGGCTGCTGTCAGCCGATGCTGGGGCCGGCCCGGGCGATACGGGCAGGGCAGAGGCTGGGCTTGAGAGCTAGGGGGCCTCGATAGATGAAAGACATGGGGGGCGGGGTGCCCTCCCAACTGACTAGTTAGAAGACGGGCTGATGCTCCACCATTACACAGGCCTATGACAAGGCTGCACACATGACTGGCTGCTGCCCCTACATCACAACCGACTGGCTCTTTAAAAATATTTGGTGCCGTTCACCTCCGGTCACAAAACAGCAATAAGTCAAGTTGCAAAAGGATGTAAGATCATGATTTATTCTTTTGGGTTTGGTTGCCTGCGAGACGCGGCAGCCATGTACAGACAAACCGACATGCTGGGTTCACCGGGGGGCTTTAACACAGGCGGCATTAAGTGAAGGCAGAGGATATATATACTATATATGTGCGTTTCTTTCGATCTTGTTCCGCTTTCTTTTTTCCGTTTCTGCTTGGCTAACACACTGGAAAAGCGGAGGTGGTGAAAAGCAGCTGGATGGAACCAACAATGTCACCTACAATTCCTCCTCTTACATGTGCGCGAATCAGAAATATTACCTGTACATCCAGTGACTGATAGGGCTCATTTCAACACCGTGACAATCTGACAGCAATTAAACATCGCTCATCCTTAAAGGTGTTTGATCACATGACAATGGTGTGGATAATGAGTGCAGATATTTTCAGTTTACTGTGTATACATTCAGCTGGTTATGAGACTCATGGCTGCCGTTTTTGCTTAAACAAGGAGGTCAAGTTACGCCAACAGCAAAAATAACGCATCACAGGAGCAGTAATAACACTAGGCCTGCTTGTAATCCCACTGGGGATGTGAAAATACCTTTGTACTACATTGCCTGACATGTATCGCTACCAAACCAAAACACCTCTCCCTGAGGAAGATGGATGGATGGATGCAGAATTGCAGGAGATAAAAGGCTTACGGAGGTAAAGGTCTGACGTGGAGGCTCTTAAAATATTCTGCCGGCATACATTTGTTCGAAAAACAAGCCATGATTTGTCTTCAAGCTGAAGAATACTGTAAATCACACAAATATCACCTACCCCCCTTTTCCTACTGAAAAGAAAACCACTCTCACCCTTGAGTCTGATAATTTACATTGTGTACTGCTCGTGTCACAGCACAGTGTGATGCCTAAACCCTCAGCAGAGGTGCTGCTGGTCTGAAGGAGCTGTGGGGGAGACAGGTGAAATCCTCAGAGGGACGGGTAATCTTTACAGCTCCTCCTGATTATAGCTCCTCCGAGAGACCTTGAGAACTCTTCCCTGCAGCGCCCAACACCCCCAAAGGCCCCCAGCTGTTGGGTCTTCTGCAGACTTGCAGATACGTTGGCAGGAGCAGCTACGCTACAGATAAAACTTAGATGACATCACTTCCCTCTCCCATCTAATCTGTCATAAAGATTTGGCTCTGCTTCATCAGCTCCAAAGATAAGGGGGGGTTTGGGGGCTAAGAGTTCCTCCCTTATACAAACAGACAAAAAAGGCTTTAAATTACGAGACTAGTTGAAGCAAGTAATAATGGATAATTTAGGGCATTCTGGACATAAATATACTCCTGTCATACGGAACAAGCAGTCGTATTATTCAGCTGCAGAGTAGATTTCACAGCTTAGAGCTCGGAGCTTGAAGGGGGAGAAATGGGGGGGGGGGGGTAAACGCTCTCAGTACAACTATCAAACATGTCAGATAAGTTATTTTATCGTGCAATTTAGGGTTTGAAATCCTGCTGAAAGACTAATGAAAAGAATAATTCAAGTTCAAGGTTCTTTATTGTCATTCACATTACATGTGGTACATGAAGTGGAACGAAAGTGTGTACTCAAGGTCCCAGTTACACCCAAAAATAGCAGAAATATAAAGAATAAAAGAAACAGTATATAAGGATCTAAGATACACACTAAGCTATATGCTAAACAATACACTAAAGGATCTAAGGTACAGTATTCCTTCGCTAATTCGAGGGTCGTTTTTCGCAGATTCGCTATATTGCGGTTTTTCAAAGTAAGATTGGACATGACACAATTGGCTGATTGATGGATGAGACATGGATTGTTTATTTAAAATAAATTATTTTGCACCTGTGTGCAGCCCACAAATGGAAGGGGAAGCTCCCTCCTGCAGCCTGTCATGATCTCCTTCTCTGCCACGCACACACATTTCTCCTGCTGCAGCTTCATGAAAGGTTAACCCTTTGCTATCCAGAAGCACTGATCGACGTTTGTCTTCCAACTTCAAATTCTAAGTATGAAACATCATAAAATCATCATAATCACAAAATATAAAAGTGTTAACAGTTATTTTTAATTATTTTAGAACTTCTATGTTCAGTTGTTTCAGTGTAATTGATCAAGAAGTACATTTCTGCTCCGTGCTGCAGAGCTGCTGCACTTCTCTTTTCTTCAATTTAAATTTAAATACTTTAATATTTTAAATAAACAATCCATGCATGAACTGTTTATTTAAAATATTACAGTATTTAAATTGTTTATTTAAGGAGAGAGATTGGGAGTAACATGTGATGAGTGTGATTACAGCCTGGCACATGTCACGACCAAGTTTACTGAACTTGGACTTGGACTACTTTATCCCTACTTCGCAGTTTTTCACTTATCGTGGGCGGGCATGGTCCCAAACACCTGCCATAAATGAAGGACCGCTGTATATGCTAAATACTAATAATGTAAAACAATACGGAATATTAAACAGCAGCCCGAACACGAGTCTGTGGTGAGTAGATGGGTTTGAATGAATACAGCAGCATGAGATAATCAGCAGTACGAGATCAGCAGCATGGATAATCAGCAGCACAGATAAGTCACATAACCCAATTAAAGTGGTATTACAGTGATTTTCTTTTTTTACCTTACAATGATTATCTTTAGGTTAGGGATTCGTGAGACTAACAGCTTCAGGGTAGAAGCTGTAGCTGGATAGGCAGTCCCATACGTTCTTTATATAGTTGTAGTTGGTAATTTACCATCTAAATTTGACAATGACTGTTTATTATTAACTGAGCGATTTAGAGGGAAGCTTCTGAGGGAAACTCAGTCCTCACCTCCATCTACAGGTGTGCAGTGGAGAGCATCCTGTGCTCCAGCATCAACGTGTGACATGGAGGCTGCACAGCTGCAGAAAGAAAAGCTTTGCAGAGAGTGGTGAAGGCTGCACAGAAGTCTGCTGGAGTCAGTCTCCCCACCATCACAGACATCTACACCTCCAGATGCAGGAAGAGGGCCACCTGCATCATGAAGGACCCCACTCACCCAGCACACACACTTTTTGCCCCGCTCCCCTCAGGCAGGAGGTTAAGGAGCATTAAGTGTAGAACCACTAGAGTGAGGAACAGCTTCTACCCTGAGGATGTTAAACTCATGAATCTCTAACCAGAATAATCACTGTGAAAAATCACATCATGTTGCTGCTGATCTGTTTCATGTTGCTGCTGATCTGTTTCATCTTGCTGTGTTCATTCGTGCTCGTCTGCCCACACAGACTCATGTTCGTGCTGCTGTTTGGCATATTGTTTTTATGCTAATTAGTGCTTAGTGTATTATTTAGGTGATGTTTTCTTAGTTCATATCTTAGATCTTATTACTGTTTTTCTTTTACATTTTATTGTTGGATGTAACTGGGACCCTGCGTACACATATGGTGGAATGACAAACAAAGAACCTTGAATCTAACTGCAATGATCTTAATATATCCAAGACATAATTTTATAATATTTACAACTATTAGAGAACTTTTTTTTAGTTTGCCTACAGTGTTTACTTTTCATGCTTTTAGAGGGTCAGCAAAATAAGTTGAATTTACTACTGAGCAGATGAGGGTAAATTTTAAGGCAGGGTGGTGTTAAAGTCTTACGGAGACAGGAGTTAAAACTGCGTTTCAGACAGAAAGGGATAAGAAAAAACTCTTAAAAACATGCAGTCTATAAAAATTAAGTTAACGAGAACAACATGAGTTCAAAAGCTTGTGACCAAATAGATGACCTGTTAATACAAAATATCATTCAGGTAGATGCAGAAGTTCAGTTTTCCTTATTTCCAGCTTCTATGTGACAGGTGTGATGAAATAGCTGCATGCACATGATAAAATAACTGGACAGAAAGGACTCACAGTGCTAAGCTTGCTTGAGGTAATGATGATGCGTCGTTCGTGAAGCATACTGGCGTAGAGTTGGAGCATGTTGTTGGTGTCCACAGCCACGAAGTACTCAGTCAGGTTCCTCTGCAAATTGAGACATTTTCAGCTTGAAAACAAACTGAGTGTAGCTTGATTGCATTAATGCTACAGACTGTAAGTGTCTTATGTGCTGAAGTCAGATGCCAACTGGCTGAAAAACAGCCTGCCACAACAATTGAAGACTGATCTGCATTGAAAATAACCCTTTTGGTCTTTGATCCATCAAAAATAGTCATGTTCAGAAAACGGATCGCATTTCATTCAAAGTCTGAGTGACTGATAATTGTTGTCATCGAACGTCCCTCGCCGTAAAGATTTAAGCTTGAATTTGAACACGAGAACCAACAAGAACGTGCTCTCAGTTTGAATCTTTTATGCCAATCACTCAGAGCATTAAAGCACGAGAGCACCGCAGGAGATAAAACCGAAACAAGAGCATGACGCAATAATTTCAAACGGTGACATGTGTATTAGATTAAAAACGATTAGAGACGGAAATGTTTCCATAAGGGACGGATCTTGTCTTTATCTCGCTTTCCTTTCCTTTTTCATGAGCACTTACACTCTCAGGGATGGTTGGCAGTCCATTGATATCCGGGGCAATGAAGTAGGAGTGCTGCAAAAACAGAAACACACACAAACATGTTGGAAAAAGAAGAGGGAAGGTCACAAGTGAAGCATAGCACTTATTCAGAAGAGAATGAGGGGAAGAGGGGAGAAAAAGGCCGTTCACTTTGTTCTATGATTTATGGCTCATCTTCTGCTCTGTCTATATGAATTGCTGAGCTGGTGTCTGAACTGTGGCAACGCTTTTATCAGGCCTGCAGAACAGAGAGAGCTCAATAGCAGCTCTGCTCCCAACAGACACACACTGTGGTGATGTCTCCGGTGGAAAACCCGAGTCTTTATTTAAGCATTAAAAAGGTTTGCAGAGTGCCAACACACACACATACGCACGCACAAGCACGAGTGCACATCCACACTGGTGCACACGCACATAGGTTGTTTAGAGGATCACAGGGCTGCCTGTCTCACTTTGGGAGAGCAGGGCAGGTTCAGTGTTCAGATCAAAGGGGCCTGAGAGAGGTGCTGTTTGGAGGTATAAACCACCAAGAGAAACACACTGTTGTGTCTCTAACATGTGCACACACACATGCACACAGGTCCTTGGTACACCTGTATTTCTCTGGGCCATCCCTCAACCATCTGTTGCCTTTTGTCGTTTAAATCCATTGTGGTATGAACTGTGTTTGCTACGGTGGCCCTAAGGTGTAAATGAACAACATTTGAAAAAACGGAATCACGTAAGAAAAAACGGAATTGCATGTGAAAATTTTTTTTTTATTTCATTTGAAAAAATGTAATTACATTTGAAAAGAAAAAATAAACCCTGAATCACATTTGAAAAAAACAGAACGCCCTTTGAAAAAACGGCATTACATTAAGCCAAACAGGAAGTTTTTTTTTCTTTATTAACAGCATAAAACCGAACAACAGAACAATATACAGTTCACACACAGCGGAGATACAGTTAGCAGGCTATCCTTTAACCTGTAGAATTTTTTTTTTTTTATTAAAACTGAAGAAACTTGTATTCTTTTAGCATATGTGCTACATTAAATTAAACAGCTAATCTCTGGTACACTTGCTAATGTTTTCTAACTAGCACACACTAGGTTGGTTAGTTGTGGACAAATCTATTTATTTATAGTTTGCAAAAATGGGGGGGGGGGCTCACCTCGTGTTACTTTTATCGTTGAAATAATCATGGTTATGTATACAATATTAGTAATGCCGCGCGAGTAAAACTACAATGTAAAACTAAAATGTATAACTGAAACGTCTGTCAACAAAACTTCACTACCTTGAAGATCCTTCAGAGTTTTTCCAGCGCCATATGTTCTTCAAGCTTGAACAAAACCATTTCTACAGGCTAAAGGATAGCCTGGTAATTGTATCTCCGTTGTGTGTGCACTGTATGTTGTTCTGTTGTTCGGTTTTATGCTGATAATAAAGTTAAAAAAAAAAAAAAAACTTCCTGTTTGGCTTAATGTAATTCCATTTTTTTCAAACGTCATTCCATTTTTTTCAAACGTAATTCTGTTTTTTGCCATGTGATTCTGGCCACTTCCGCTTTGGTTTAATGCAATTCCATTTTTTCAAATGTTGTTGTGATTTTGTTGTTTTTGTTGTTTTTTCAAATGTAATTCCATTTTTTTTATTATTATATTGTTCATTTACACCTTAGGGCCACCGCTGTTTGCAGTTTTAAAAGTAAAACCCTTCAGAGTTCAGGTTTGTGATTAGAACTCAAACTATTGATGACATTTATTAAGCTCCTCTTGTGCGTGCGCGCGCGCGTGTGTGTGATGCTATGCTAGGCTAATAAACAGTTACCATGTTGTCTGACTACTGAGAATTGCTCCTGGAAGAAAGGATCAAGGTCAAACTCTTAAACTTACAAAACATTCAGCTCTTTCAGTTGCACCTTTAGCAACATGCACCCCAAAATGTGTCAGAGGGGGATTAAATATTGATCACTGAAAAAAAGAGAAAAGCAGATCTGCTCCTCAGATCAAACAGCTGGATTTATGTAACGTACTGATAAGAGTGTGTAAAATAATTAAAACCCCTCAACCCAAAGAATCCCAACCACCAAAGAATACAAGAATATAATGTCCAAAAATTATAATAATGAAATATAAATATCCTACTGTTAATGTGTAAAATTTAGCTGCTTCCATTTTTTAATTATTGCATCAAAACTGCCCCAGTACCTATTTGTGCTAATTCAAAACCATTTTCAAATTTGCATAAATTGCATCATGACAGAAATCTTTACAGAAGTGGATAATCACTCAGTGAGGCACTTTTTATCAGTTGACAAAAATGTGATTAGAAGGGGTTAAAAACTACAGACTCTTAATAATCTACAAAACAAACTCAATATTTTCCCCCATAAGCGCATGTGTAATAAATAAATAAAAAGGTGAAAACAATTATTATGAGTAAACACTTGTTTCATTCCCAGGGGATGGTCATTGTTGTAGCTGAGCGGAGCTTACTGAAGATAAAGAGGCATCACAAACAAACTGGGACCAACATCCAGGGCTTTTCCTCCTGACTTTTTGTTTTCCCAAATCAAAAGATAAATGTGCACGTTATTTTTCAACACCTACATGCCCTATTATATACGACAAATGAATTTATTGAAACGTAAGAAATAATGGTCATAGTTTTATTCATAATTTGCACAGCTACCATTAAAACACATTGAAAGCAAGTCTATAATTGTTATTTGACAATTTATAATAGACGTGGGCAACTTAAGGCCCGAGGGCCAAAAATTGCCCTGGGACAGTCTCTATCAGGACCCAATATCCTTAGTTTAGAAAAAAAAAAAAAATCTTTTTTAATAAAGATTGATTTAAAAAGTAGCAATTTATCAACAAGACTTAAGGAAATTCAAATTAAACATCTTGCACAAAACATTTTTAAGTCGTTGTTTTTTGAATGTCCAGAGGACCAGACTTAAATTTTTAGATGTTTTCTACCTGGATTATTGAGCATACATCAGGATATTTTTAAGTCATGTTTCCAGAACTAGACTGAACCTTAAACACTTAGAAACACAAATATATACATTCGTTTTGCATAGTTCCACTAACGTATAACATGTTAAGCTAATGTGTAAAACATGTTAAGCTAACATGTATTATTGTCACAAGAGCCAGTTTACAGAATACGTCTTTTATTCCTAAAGGATTTTGGAAATACAATAGTCCCTCGATTATTGTGGAGGATCCATACCCTGAAGCCCCGCGATAAGTGAAAAACTGCAAAGTAGGAGTAGTACAAGTAGTAGTTTATTTTAGTTTTACATGTCATGATTTCGGCTCTCTGCCACGGCTGCACTGTGAGCTCTCAGCCACGCCCACTTCTCTGCTGTAGAACGGAGATCGACAGAGGAGGAAGGAGACGGGAGGAGGAGCTGCAAGAGGACGTTTCTCCTGCAGTGCGGGCTGCACACAGGTGCAGCTGGTGCTAAATTATTTAAAATAATTCATTTTAAATAAGAATTTCATGCCGATCATGCTGCTCATCCATCAACCAGCCAGTTGTATGTCATGTTCAATCTTATTTTGAAAAACCGCGATAGATCGAGTCTGCGAAAAACGAACCAGGAAGTAGAGAGGGACTACTGTACTTGTTTTATAAAGCATGCTATAACTATGTAAAGGAAAATATCTTCTAGATTATCTGTCTTAAAGAAAATTTATTTTCTAATTCTCTATGCGGCCCTTTGGAAAAAAAATGTTGCCCACATCTGATTTATAACCAGACCAACATTTTAATTGACTTTATATTGTCTGTAATATTTACACAAATGAATGAGCGAATGGTAAAGTTATTTGCTAGAGCTGACCAGATGTTTATCCCCAGCAAAAAGGCTTAACATTATATTTACTGGATGAACTTGTATATCATCTAATTTATTGCAGCTTGAGGAGCAGTTGAGTTTTCTGCTTAACAAGTTTTCTGACTCAAAACATGCGAAGGAAAAAAAAAAGCGTGTTTTTTTTTTTCAAGCTCACAAAGGAAGACAAATACTAGATTTGTTCCTAATGAGTTAAATTAAATGTACTTTTTAAATAAATCTACTTTTATTTGTATAAAATCGGTGATGCATTTTAAAATCAGAGCAAACTGCCATTTATCACAAAACTATACATTTATTTTACTTTTGTTTTATATTTGAAAGGCAAATAGAAACAAACTAGAATGAGAATATTTTAAAATGTAAAAGCGATTGTAGACAAACAAGCTCCATGAAAATATAAAGGAATCGAGTCATACCTCAGAGAAAACAAATCAATTCCATATAAAACAACTACAGTACAGTCAGTTTCCTTATGTTAGTTCCTTTCTTGTACTTTGAGCTAAATAACGCTCCCCTGTTGGTGTACAAATACATGGCACCGTGGTAATCACAAGCCGTGCTCCTTAATGCAAGCGCAGCCTTCATTGGCTGCTTGTTTGCTCATCTGCCTTTCTTTTTGTGCTTTCGAAGACTTGTTTGTACAAAAAAAAACACACGTTGGAAGTGGGTTAACTGGAAAAGCATCAAGCAGATTTTTTTAAACACAATTGCCTTTGCTTTAAACATAAAGAGAAAAAAAAACTTTTGATATTCAGAGAGAGAATATAGGAGAGTGGAAGGGCATTAATCATTTACAAAGTTTGATTGTTTTCCAGAGGAGAAGAAACGCACACCCAGGCCCAGGATAGTTTCTTTTTTGTGTGTCATATTTAAAATATAAAGTGCAGCTTATTTGGCCATATTGAAAATCAGCGGCTCCCATGCGATTAGTACAGAAGCAGTTCAGCCTCCTCCCCTCCACCCTCCGCTGCCGCTCACTCACTCCTCTCCACTCACCGGCTCCTTGCTTCGCCGATCTCCCAGTACTTGCCCAGTGGCAATATACAAGTGCTCATTCTTGCACGATAAGACAAGGAGAGAGAGCAAAGCAGGGTTCACATGTGAAAGGGGACAATGATTCTGCCACAATAAAATAAAACAAAACAAAAAGTCTTTAAGGGAATAATTCTGCTTTATCAATTAAACACCAAACCAGTGGCTTCTCTAGAGGCCATCACCTCTGCTCTCCGGGGCTGCTGCTTCACTGAGTTTGAGATAAATAAGTTTTACTTAAAACTAACACAAAGAGAAATTTACCTTATTAACCTGCACACAGACACACCGATTACCTCATATACCATATTTTCCGGCGTATAAGTCGCAGGTTTTTTGCACAGATTTGTCAGTCCTGCGACTTATACGCTGAAGTGACTTATGTACATTTTTTTCTTCCATATTCATAACGCAATTTTTGACTGACGCTTTAAATTTCGAAGAATTGGAACAGCGAGACCTCCCGTGCGCACTCGCTTCACTCAGCGGGTGCAGACGGAGGAACGCAGGAGAGCTAGCAGCTCTGACCGCAATGGATGGATGGATGGCGCCGCACCACCCAAGCAAAATGAAGCTGTTTTGACTATTAAATAAATTAGAGATGCACTGATCCGATACCAATATCGGTATCAGTTCCGATATCGGGAAGAAAAAAAAAACCCCTTCTGGATCGGGTATCGTGACAATGCGATCGATCCATGACTGGGCAGATTTATTCACTCTAATACTGAGTGACGTCACGCGCTAGCGAACTCACTGCGCAGATTGTTTTCAAAATGGAGCGAGCGAAAGGATCAGCCATCTGGAACTATTTCACACAACCTCAGCCAACACATTCGACAGCTACGTGCAATACGTGCGCAGTGACAGTTCCAGGGGGTGTCACTAAAACTTCCAGTTATAACACTACCAACTTAAACAAGCATCTCCAGAGATTTCACCAAAAAGAGCACGCTGAGTTTGTTGAACGGAATTCAGCACTGTTTTTCGGTATCAGATGAGTATCGGATCGTTAATAGTTTTGACACCAAACGTCAGGTATCGGTATCGCAAGTGGAAAAAGTGGATCGGTGCATCCCTAAAATAAATGCATAATAAAACACAACGACTCACCGGTGGCGCATAATAAATGCAACTTATACGCCGAAGTGGCTTATATGCCGGAAAGTACGGTATTTTTGTTAAACTGATTTGTTGTAAATTCATGTGTGTGATCGTATAAATATCCCTCAGAGATCATAGCTGCAGAGACGACCTACGGTTGCTGCTTTAATTGGTTTAAAGAAGAGGAGTTCGTCCTTGAGGACAAAGGACGCTGAAGCTCTTTTGATCCCATCGTGGTGTGAAGTCTCCGCTGAGATTGTGACTTCAGCAGACTCGCTGAAAACCTTCACGCTCGGCGTAAACAGGGCGGGCGTCGGGATGTGACTGTTTTGTGTTGGCAGCGTTCTATCAGCCGTTGTGTCAGAGTTAACTCAAACAGAAGCTGACTTTGACGGACCTGGGCTCGTTAAGCCGTTTCACTTCTTTTTGATAAGCAGGAGACATGATGAGTTGTGAAAGGACCCTTCAACTTTAAACATGTCCAGCTTGAGCTTATCACAAGGAAACCTGTAAGCGCCACTTCTGGTTTCCAAACGGTGTCAGTCTGGGCTCCGAGTCTCTGCTCCTGCCCGACGTGTCTTCACCTCCTCCTGCTCTGCACTCCACGTCTCCTCTGCCTTTCCTTCGTTTAATCTCTCACATCTCAACCTCTGCACTTTGTCCATGTCCCTGTTTTTGCTCTTCTTCTTTCTTCCACGTGTCAATTCCAATTTAATTCTCATTACGTTTCACTTTTAGCCTCCTTACGTTGTCAGCGTCTCACTACTTTTAACTACTTCAGCCAACTGTTTTCCCCTCCTCTGATGCAACACGCCGCTGCAGCTTTCCCTCTTCCCGTGTCACGCTCAGCTGTCTTGGATCTGATCTAGCAGAAGATGTATACGGTACCTACCACACTCAGGCTGACTGGCGTGAAAGGCTTTGGCACAGGCAGCTCATAGAGAGAATTCAGCATGTCGTTCAAGTCATTTTCCTGAGGGAGGAAAACAAATGGAAGAAAAAAAAAAAAGAATGAAAAAACAAACGCACACAAACAAACAGGGCACATATGATTTAAATTTACTCGTTGCGTTGATGTCACAAGTTATGTGTCAATCTTAACAACTGTGCTGGGACAGGCGCTGCCGCAGACCAGAGGGTAATCCTGCAGCAAGGCCTGAAGGGCTCCACAACATCCGACTGACATATGTTTAACAAGAAATGGCGAGGTTAAAAGACGGCTTAGATGCTTATTATCCGGCAGCGCTGATTTACGTCCGAGAGCGGCCTGTCGCTAATTAACCGGGGGTCCCCACTCCAAAAACAGGGGCTTCAGAGAAGCGTCAGAGAGCTAGCACGACCACAAAACAGGCCGTGAGATCATTCGTTCAGCATTTATGAGTTCTTGCCCGAGTTCATGCTTGATGTTTACACTCTCATGTCTTCTGCAAGGAATAAAAAATATATAAAATGGGCAACAATAACAGCACAACTTGCCCTCTAACTTCTGTAAAAGTAGTTAGTGAAGCTGCTGGAGAGGTTGAACTTTACTGTTTAGCTTTTTTCCTTTGATGCCCTCTCCAGGAACTTTATTTTGGTCTTGGCTTTGAGCCGATGCTTCTGTGAGAAAATAATGCGCGTGTGTGTGTGCAAGCCACAGAATAAGAGAAGCGATAGGTGGCAATATACAGTAAGTGGAGGAAAAGGAAAGGAGGGAGGGGTGTTGGGGTGTGTGCAATCGAACAGCCTCCTGTCAAGAGAGGCTCAATGCTCACACGCATGGTCAGCAACACGGCCTGGGGAAACAGTTCATTTACCCCTCGCCTTAAACCCTCATCGCTCTTCTGTCTTCCCTCGTCTGTCAACATCTCCCTCTCGCCTGAAACGGACAGCGGGGTAAATAGAAACCAAATCATGCACGCTAACATTTCAGTCACCCAGGATTTTCAGCAGGCTTTCCGTCTCTCCCCTCCTCACTCACAAACTGTCCTTTTCTGTTTGTACTTCCTCTCACCACGTTAGATTATCCCACCGAAATCCTTTCAGCTGAACAACTTTGTGCACGGATGTTGATTGTTTATGTGACGCGACTGTCTTTTTGTGCGAGACACTTTGTCCTGATCACATTCCCCCGAGGATGCTGGGAAAAGCAGTGACTACATGACAATTGAAAAGTGGTCCCAAAGCTCTCTGTGTGTCTCCCTTGCTCCGTCTCCCCATCTCTCCTTCCTCCCCGCCCCTCTCCTCAGTCTAAACAGGAGAACATCACCTACACCCTATGCACTAGACGTGCACATCCCTCCACTTTGTTGCATATTTTACAGTTCCCCTCCTTTTGCGAGTACAATGCAGTGAATAGTCAGGGGAGCAGAGCTTTTGTGGAGTGTGTACGTGCGTGTGTTTTTCTTAACAATTTGTTTTCCAGTAAATCATCAGGAATAACTTTCCATGTCAGATCAGCATTTGGTCTGTGAAATGTCAGCGTTGCTGCTGCTAACAAGAGGAACCAATTGGAGCCCAAGACCGAACAACACTTGCACACAAAAGAAAACACGCAGCGTGCAGACGAACAAACTTCTCACCACGATACGACTTTAAAATCGGCGCTCGTTTCAGAGTCAAATTGCGCAATCGTTTTGTCTTACTTATACGGTAAAGAACAAACGTCGCAGCTTATATTCAGATAATTATCACATGAACTTGAGTTGATACTGCGATATGGGATTACCTGTTGTTTTGTTAGGTAGTCAGCCAGTGTGTTCAGCAGCTTGTAGTAGATTTCAAACCAGGGTAGATAACTGGAAGAAGAAGCAGAGAGCTGCGTTAATGTAAGGAGAAGCTTGCACTCATTTCATCACCTCCTACAGTAAACAACATGCGATTAATCAAAGCGGATCGGTGTGTTATTTATTTAAAATACAAGCGGAGAGGGATTCAAACTCCAGAAACCTTGAATGTGCGTTGCATCTTCGCCCGAAAGCGCCTATTAATAATTTGACCTATTGTTTAAAGATCAAATACACAAAGAGAGCGTTGATAATGGATTCTGTTCCATGCTACACCTACACCAAAGCACAGAGGCTTTGTTGCACAGAAAAAAGTAAACACTTTCTCGTCTACATTACGACGCTCTTTCATATCCAGGGCTTTTTGCATGCTGTGAAATCTGAATTCCTGTCATGTTTGCTCTTTAGGGCAGCAATAAATAACAGTAAAAATAAAAAAAAATAAAAACAATAAGTTTTAGATTCTTTAATAAAAATGAACCACAGCAGTTTTTTATGGGATGTGGAGGGATGCTATAGTTTACAGGCATGTTGCTCCCAGAGGCACAGGCTTAACAAAAAAACGCAGCTTCCCTTCTCCACCTCCCGCTTTCCGCCCTTCAACCTGCTGCTTTTCATGCCCTCCACATATTCAAAAATAATGCTTCTTTATGCAATTAATGTTAAATAAATTCATTAACAAGCTGAAAATAATTTATACCTCTGTGTTTGTGTTGAAGCTAATCAGGAAGTGCACCAAGCATAAGCTAAAGCAGCTGCGGCATGGCTTCCTTTACAAAGTTGACACTTTCTTGGCCGAGAGGATTTGCTTTTGAAATGGAAGAAAGCCAATTTTTTTTTTTTTAAAGCATAAAAGCTGGTAGGGCTCTGTTCATTTAATGTTACACAATCAAATACAAAACATGGCGTACTACCACGTTATTGAATTTTTATCCAGTTTGGTGGTTTTCCCGTGCAGTTTTTTATATTGAATGATTTTTATTAAGAACTCCTAGCTATTAACTAAACAGAGACTCCCATTAATGCTTCATTAACTTGCACGGATGCAGGGGTTGGAGAATAAATTATTGCCCAAATGAGCCAGTCAATGTGGTTTTCTTACATCACAGATGGAAAAAAATTGAGGAGTATTGCTCAACAGTGGAGTATAAATCATTTTATTTTATTAAAACTTAGAAAAAAACGCTGAAAATTGTAGTCTTTTAGTTAAATGACAATAATTTTGTGTTTTGCGTGTGAGACTTTGCGGTCCTGCTCAAGCAGTTGGGTGGTGACGGAGAAGTTTCAATGACATGGGTCACTTGGCTGCTCTGCAGACTGGAATTAACAAACAAGAAAACAAGAAAATGAACCAAATGCAAATATTCATATCACCAAATCTGCAAGGGGCCAATGACAGAGCGAGTTCACAGAGAAGTGCAGCCAAGCGCACAAATCGGAGAGGCCGAGTGACCATTAGTCTGAAACAATCAGTCTCTTTAACGTGCCAATATTGTGACATCTGCATGAAGATTTACCACAATCAGGTCACACTTGCAGGAGGGACGAAATCAAAGACACTGATATTAATTTACGTGCTGACCGGATATCAACCTGGAGACCCATTTCTGCCACGTCAAACAACGTGCGACACGAATATCTGCGTATCGGGTCAGTTTATATTCAAACAGAAAATGTTCAGTCACATAAAGCAACCGGGAAGAGAAGCCTTCATCTAACCTGCCTTCTGTTTTATATTAAAAACGTCTGGACGATAACTCTTAATTTTGTTTTACGGTTAAAGAAAAGGCTTTCAGAGGAGCAGTCAGGCTTCACACAAAAATGTTGTACATAATTACGTATATTAAAGAAAATATCTGTGTGGAGGGCACGAAGTAAGAATATATTTAAAGGCTGCTCCTCCTCCCCCGGCTCTGCTCTCTGTACATACAAAGTTAAAGTTTGGAAAGCTTAAAGAGAAATACGTCGCAGTTCATCGCTCAGATCTGTTTAGTGTTTTGCAAATCCTCCGATAAGAGAGAGTCTATCACTGGCGTGCACAGTGGGTGGTGGGGGGGGGGAGGTGGGGTTCTCCAACCATCTCAAAGTGCCACGTACTTGAGTCAGAGTCAATCTGTGACCCTCTCACAGCCCATCATGCTCGCCAACGCCAACTTCCCCGTCCAGCAGACGACCCAAGGAAGCAACTTGGGAACACGGTTATGAAAAGAGGCACAAAGCCGTTGTGAGTGTTTTAATGAGCACTGCAAAGACTCAAAATTAAAATAAACGTTGGCCATTAAATGTTTATATACAAAGCCCACTTTGGCTGCCATAAAGTAAGTGGGGTGTTAAGCATGAAACTTATTCTTGTTCCTCAGCCGAGACTTAAATCTTTCTTGCTGCGCAGGCATCAGTAAGTCTTCTGCACTTTGTAGACGGCTGAGTGGAAGATTGCGTTACACGTTTACTTTCTGGGGTCAGGGGTTAAGCACGGGCGGAGGAAGTGTCTTGAAGTACCTGAACATGTGACCGCTAACCAGAGATGTGCAGTCACTGGAATGAACCCTTAACTGTGTTACCTACATCTACAAATTAGATACAAAATTAATTCGCTCAAATGCAAATGACAAGTTTAGAAGTGAGGATAAAACATCACAATTATTATTTTTTTTTTTCCTTTTGTTTTGAGAGGAAGTGTGATCCTTGGTTTTAACTCGGAGCGCCGTCCACATAAAGCTGTCCTGTTCATTAAGGCACTTCTTTATAGAAGCAGAGGTGACAACTTTACAGTTCTGGCCCTCACACACTAACTGTTTTAATCATCATTTTACCTTCTTTAGAAACAGTTAAACCTGGGCCGTCTTGCGTTGGACTTTAAAATATTAACGAATTATATTTCTCAATACTTTGTAGTAATTGATTTAATCATCTTGTAGAATAATAATAAAAAAGACCTGACTTTGACCAATTATTTCGAATCATTTGAAAATTTCAAGATATCTAAAACGCTTTCATGCTTTTGAATGTTCCCCATTTCCCAACAAGAATAAAAAGGAAATAAGATAACAGGAGGAAAAACTGTGGAGCACAAACACGATTTTAAATCCTGAAAGGAAAAAAAAAAAGCGTTTCCTATATGTTATTTTATTATAAATGAAGCAAGTCATGCAAACTACTCAGAATGCATAATGAATTTATACATCATATGTCAAATGAATTAGCATGTCTAACTCAGCGAGAGGGACGGGGGAGCCTCTGCTAATTGGCAGCGAAGCTTCATGCATAATTATGGGCCGAGCGGCTTTGCTGTCGCGCCGTGGCAGTAGCCAAATAACGAGGAGAAAAAGAGAGGGAGAGACGGAGGGAGAGACAGAAAGCATGAGATGGAGAGGGAGAGAAAAGAAAAACAAAGGCCATGGAAGCTGGCCGGGAAAGGTGGGTGGTATATCAGTGTGTATGTGTGTGTGTGTGTGGAGGGGAGGGGGGTGTGAGGGCGCTGTTCTTCACAGCAGCTCATCAGGGCAGCGACAAACCCACGACTGTCCATCAACAGCCACACACAGTCAACACACACACACACACACACACACACACAACATGAGCCTTACAGAGCCTCGTTGTGCAAACGCACACCAGAGGAAGGCTTTGTGCTGCTTTTCTAATTTGTTGTTTGTTAAACTGCATATTACATTCATTATTTTTTTGTTACCATTTTCCTCAGTTAATATTAAAGTGCATGAGCACGTCCACTGAGACTTTCACCAGGGGTGCCTATTCTTTGCGATTGGTTGGGTAATTACATCTGTAAAAGCGCTGCCTTAACAGCAACAACAACAAAAATACTTTGTAATTATCAGGTAATTGTCTTTTTGGAGCATAATTATGCAAAGGAAATACAATTTTCTCAGGTTTCGTGTCTTCTTTTATGTGCGCTGTGATAGAAGACATTCACCTATGAAATAAATAAAAAAAACGTTAAACTTTTGGTTAATTATAGGCACTTAAGTAACATATTTGTGTGGGCAGATGAGAATATAAATTTGTTATTCTGGCATAGTGCAGCTCAGAGTGAGGTGTGAGAATAAATGAAAAGGTTGTCTCCAAAAGATGTGTTCATTTCTAAGATCTCTTAAATTACTTGGTTTTTTATCTACTGTAATGCATAAATCCATATATACACACACACACACATATATATATATATATATACACACACACACACACACACACATACATATATATATATATATATATATATATATATATATATATATATATACATACACACACACACACATATATATAAACATATATAATTAAGGAGGAAAAAAACATTTCTGATGGTAATTTGTGCGTGTTATTTTTAACGGTTTAATGGGAAAAGTCTTCAACTAACATAAAAAATGTGTTTAAACAAATATTTTTGATCCCTTCACTTAATTTGTAAGCAAAATGTAATTGTGAGTATAGAGTAGATTGGAATTTGGATTATGCAACATACCTAAAAAAACATCCAATTCAATTTTTTTATTTAAAAATAAGTTCTTAAAATAACAGAGCATAAAATCAATAGCAACATCTAAAAATAACATTTAAATACAAAATACTTCACTCTCTGGAATTACATTTTTTGGGGAAAAAAAACAAAACAAAATAAATAATAAAACAACAACAACAACAACAGTAAGTGGTACCTGAGGAGACATATGCAGACCCGGCAGCCTTGGGTGAGTCGACAAAAACCAAATCTCTGTTTGCTGTCGATGTCTGTGAGCACAAAGGTGAAATTCTGCCCCACCTGACTTTGAGAAACCCTAGTAAAGACACAAGCATGGAGGAGAGACTTAACGAATTATGTTGTTTTTAATCAAAGAGCGAAAATGAGGAGCAATAAATACAAAACTATTAAGTTGAATATGTACCATAATGACCCACTGCTTGTTTGAAATGCTCTATTAGTTACTCATACTTAAAGATTTGGCTCTCAGAGTGAGCTAAATATTTAGCTGAGCTTCAAAATTGATGTCAAAAATTGTAAGTTTAAGATCCACAACAATAAATCTTTTTTACGATATATTGGGCTCAGTACACATCTTGACCACTAGATGGCAGCAGCTCAGCTTCAGTAAAAAGTCCTTCCTACCAACTCATCTATTTATGTAGATAGATGGAAAATTTGCCTGTCATTTTTCATGTGAAAAATAATAATAAAAATTTCAGATGGTGTTGGTCTGATCGTACTTTAGAGCCTAAACAAAACAGACTCTCTTTGATTTTAGTCTTACCACACTCAAAAATGATTTCTTGCACCGGAGGGTTAGGAGTGGCGATCTTGGATTACCTCATCAGCGTCATCTCTACTGGCAACTGTTAGTACTGTTCTTCTCATCTTTAACATGCCATTCCATCAGAGTAGTGATATTAATGTTGACATCCTGTTGTTTTTACAGTTGCTGTAGAAATTAATGTGCTTTGAACATAACGACGATACCAAAATAACTCATTACACTTCAACAGGCAGTAGATTGGCAGGTGACAATACCAATGAGTGATTGGAGTTTAGAGCTCATCAAATCATGATGATGACTTTGAGAAGCAGAATATATACATCTCATTTTCTGTGCCACATAAATGTGTATTTGGAGTGTGCGATGTGATCATTTTTGATGTGTATATGTGACTGGATTCTGTACAAATGAGGTAAAAGTGAGCTGGGCGCCTAAAAAACAAGGAAGCAGAGAGGGAGAGGAATCATACCTTTCCACGTCGAAGGGAAAGCAGAACTTTGGTATTGTCTTAAGGACCTCCTGAGAAATGAGAACAGAAAAAAAAAACAAGCATTTTCTTAGACAACAGATACAATTAATAAAACTGTGTGTTTTAATATGTTAATTTCTTGGGCTTCCACCAAGTGGGTGAGAGTCAGGCTATCAGCTGGCTGAACAAAATGGGGATTAATGCTAAATGCTACTGATAGCAATCTGACAAAGTCTAAACATCCCAAACAGTGCTGTTAAAAGCACTTAATCCAAATGAATGGGCAATATAAACCACTTTATTTGGCAGAACAGAGTGGAAACGTCCTCTTTCTTCCAAGAATAAGGGAGGGATCCTCGATCCACAGCTTGAATAATTAGCAGTTAATAAGTTCATCGATTATCAGGTGCCAAAGGGAGATGAAAGAGAGGGGGGAGGGAGGGGAGGAGGGGGGTGGTTGCAACACCAAGGCTATGGTGGCAGATTGTAGTGACAATGGGCTAAGCAGCTCTGTGGGGTTAAGAGGTAGGAGGGGGGTACAAGCCTTCAGGGCTTTACCTCCCAACACCTCCCTTGTGGTTCTGCATGCTCTTGAAGCGAGGTAGGAAAGAAGGGGAGGGGGTCTTTTCTTCCACCAGTGGCATATGGGTTTAGACAGGGAGCATGAACAGTGCAGAGCACCATATGGGTGAGCCACTCCAGACCAGCCACACAGCAACCGCTCCCCGGGTCCCTGATCTGTCTGTCGCTCCGTCTCCTCTTCTCTCTGGCTACTAACCTGGCCCAGAAAAGGTGCCAGGTCTTTTATTTTTATTTATTTTTTTACCGTCTGTCTTTCTGCTACCTCTCTCTCAGTTCTGGTCAGTCTGCCAAGCTCAAAGACTAATCCTGGGTGGCTCTTTGCTATGCTCTGGCCCCACTTGCGGTCTCCCTCTTCCTCTTTCGTTTACTTGCCAAGCTCGGCCACAGAGCTAAGGCTTGTGTCCCCCCCCATACCCCACCCTGATTGGACACATCCGAGCTGTGAGTGATGCTGCTGCTCTTCTTCCATCTCTCTGCCTCCCCCAGAGACTGATGCGGACGACAGGTTGGGTGTCTGCCATGGCTGCTGTCTACCGTCTCTAAGACCTCACCACAGGGAGCAGTCACTGATCCCCTGCCCCTCCCCATCAAAACTTAAATCTGTCACCCATGCACAACAAACATTTCTGCAGACAAGCAACCAACGGCAACAATAAGCCATGACAGAATGTGTGTGTGTGCATTCAAATGTACAATGTATTTGAACGTGTGCTTGGTTCAAGGACTTCGTTCAGTGGATAGAACTGTCCATTTATGTCTGTTTGTGTGGGTGGTGGAGTTGGACTAGGCTATATGTTTGTAATTGTATTTATGTCCACATATGGAGCATAAGAGCGGGGCTGGAGGCAAGGCGGGTGGGGTGGGAGGGAAACTGTGATGGAAACGTGTGATAAAATTGAGAACTCAACAAAGATGGAGGGTTCTGTGGCAGAGGAGGTCTGCGTTGTGAGGCAGTGTGTGTACATGTGTGACTAAGTCTTGGCGTGTGCGGCTGTAAAACTGTCACACACATCAGAGCTGCCATCGCTGTACGCGTTTGCTACTATTATTAACCACTACGTACGCACACCAATATGTTCCAGAGAGCCCTCCCTGGCACGCTGCATATGGCACACAAACCCAAACAGACACATGCATGCACGTGCACACACACAGATCTGCTTCTCCCTGCAAATAAAAACATTCCAGTTGCCAGATTTCTGAGTTTTCACAGCCCTGCCCACATCAAGTATCTGCGTTTGAGTGACAGTCCACGAGCTGCAGAGACTCTGATCTCATATAGGATCAGCAGGATGTGATGAGGTTTTACGTGTTTTTAATATGACATAGAAACAATGGACATATTCTATATATACACACATACACTGTAAGCTTCGGTTTTATGCATCTCAGGTATGCCAACATCATAAAGCATACAGGCATCCAACATCATAAAACAGAGGCGTTTTCAAACTGCTGTCTTTAGCCATTAAAGAGACCAGACGGCAGAGCCTTGTGAGCACCTTTTTGAAGTCAAGACAAGATAGACTTTTTTTTTCCCCTTTCTTCACATTTGTAGATTTACATTTTATAGCTGCAATTTACTTTACACTTCAAACATATTTCTTAAATTAGGTTAACAAATTGACAACAATTCCTTAAAGTCAGAAGTGGCGTTGCAAATAGTATTTTACATCTTTTAGCAAAAATTTGATGTTAATTTTACGATGGATTTTGGAAATGGCATGTTTTCTGGATGGTTTCTTTTGTTGTTGAGACGTTTCGTCCTTCATCCAAAGGACTTCATCAATACGAGGCATTGATGAAGTCCTTTGGATGAAGGACCTGACTGAATTATGTTGGATTTTTTACCTGGATTATTGAGCATGAACTTTGATGTAAATAGATGCTGCTTATGTTTGCTTGAACAACAGTTTTGCTGTTCAATGATTAATGAATGATAATCTAAAAACATATCTGTAGGGACAGAGATGGTGTAGAGGTAGGGCAGCCGATTTGGGATCAGAAAGTCGCAGGTTCAACTCCCCGCTATGCCCACATGTCATGGCATCCCTGAGCAAGACACCCAATCTCCAATTGCTCCCCAGGCGCTTACATAGCTGCCCACTGCTCCACCTAGGTGTATCTCACGTGTGATATTTCATCATTGTAAAGAAATATACAATGATGACAAATAAATAACTGATTTACTCACAACACAATGAATAAGGAATATTCTACGCAGTAACGTGTATAGATCCATTTAAACAAATAAGTAAAAGACTTTAATGTTTTTATTAATATCTATAAACATTTGAAGCAGACATTGTAAAAAAAAAATACCACACATGTACATTAGGCCTGTCGCGATAAACAATAAATCAATTAATCGCATGATGAATGAAAATTATCAACCTCATTTTCATTTACCTGCTTTATCGTTTCTTCGTGTCTCTCTCTCTACTGAAGACAAGGCTCAGCTCCGGTGCTCTTCACTGACCTTTCCCTTTCTTTTTTTTAAAAATCCGTTTTAACTGTCCAAAATCGCGTTTTGGGATCGTTAAAAGCAGCTAAGCTGAGAAGCTAAGCTAACAGGCCGACCTCTGGAATAAACCTCTGCCTTGTCAAGCTCCAAAATTCACGGTTGAAACCGGTGCCTTCGTGTAAAAAGGTTTTTTTGTGTTCAAAAAGAAGCTGAGAACTTGTTTACTGATGTTTTTATTGAAAGTTATGTGTGAAAAATGCTATACTAAAGAGCTCACATCACAGAGCGTCCACCATTTTGAGAACCGAAACAACCCATGTCACGTCAAGGGCCCTCCCTCCCATTTTTCTTAAAGAGACACCCGCTCAACTATTCATCCTTTGGTTCAAACTGTCTTCTACTGTCATCATCAGGTGGTCAAAAAAGGTACTACACCCCAAACAAATAATTTCTTCTAAAATTCGACAATTAATTATTGTTAAATTTCAAACAATATTATCGTTTATCACAATAATTTCTGAGACAATAAATCGCCCACCAAAATTTTTTATTGTGACAGGCCTAATATACACTTAAATTTGATAAAATGCAGATCAGTTTGAGGATTTTGCAAATCAATAGGAATGACATATTAGCAAATATGTATCCCAAATTCCTTCATTTGTAGGATGTGATTAAAGCATACAGGAAAAAATGAAACATTTAGAGAAAACTGCATTATGCTGATGTGGATCCTATTTGTCGCAATGGCCCATTGTCAAGTCTAGTACATTTTATTAGTGACCTTAACGTTTCGGGTGAGAATTCTTTTTATCCTTCAAGATGGTATATCTGTGGGTTGCAACTATCTGAGATGTGTTGGCAAATCAAAGTTGATTCGGGATTACGGGAAAAAAAAAAGAGTTAATTTTCAGTTGCAGTCTCAATAAATTCTGAGTATTTGCAACCAAGTGACCAGAGAGCCATGTGGGCATATTTTGCACAGCCATAATTTAAAAATCACGGCTTATTTTTATGTGCCCAGCTTGTAAAACTATATTCTAGGCTAGTCACATTTTTATTGCCCACCTCTGCCCGCATCATACCTGCTTTGGCTCACTATTTACTCTACCTCAACCTTTAGGATTTTATCTACTGGCATACACTTTTGAAATGAACATGGGTTTTTTCCACTTTGGAGTACGCTGTTGGGGGGGGGAGCGTTTTGTTTGGCGTTTCCTCAGACTGATGAAGCCTTCCGGATGGAGGGTGAAACATCTCAGCACAAAAAAACAAAAGAAACCATCCAGATGACCTGACTGAACATAATTGGATTTTATACCTGGATTATTGAGCATGGACTTTGGTGTTTTGAACCAGTTTGACATGACTGTCGACGAGGGAGAGGGCAGGCGCCGGAGGAGAGGCCATCTTAGCACCAACATAACTGTTTTTTTCCACTTTGGAGTAGGCTGTTGGGGGAGAAGCAGTTTTGTTTGGCATTTCCTCAGACTGATGAAGCCTTCCGGATGGAGGGCGAAACGTCTCAGCACAAAAAAAAAAAAAAAAAAAAAAAGAAGAAACCGTCCAGATGACCTGACTGAACATTGTTGGAACATGGGTAGAGATTTGGACCAAATTATTTTAACTACTTCTATTTTTAACTAGCACTAACATTGACATTGTTTATACACGACAATGTATTCCATCAAAACCCAGCTGTTGTGCTTTTGAGACAGGTTGGAGACCCGACACAAAATTGAGAAGTGCTCAAATCACCTGCAATAACTTTGTGATTATTTTTAGAGGAAAATCTGCCACACAAAGGATTTGAATATGATCAAAATTTAAATAAGACCGAGACTCAAGTGAGTAAATTGAGAACCACTGCAAATATCACAAGACAATCTGGACACTTTATAATGAAAGCCATTCGCCAACTAGTCGCCAACAGTCTCAACTATCCACCATATACAGTACAGGTGAAATAATCAGATTTATTTTAAAAAATACTTTTAAAAGCCA